GTATGAGTCCTGTGCTTTCAGTAGTACGAGCCCATACTACCTTCCACACCTACCCATATTTGTCTCAAATAACATCACAACGCCCTAACAATATCCATAATCATAGCGAGCGCTCAATCCTCACTCCTAGAGGAATGCTAAATATCTCGAAACTGGCCTCCCGGCCTCACACAACCCACCCATCCATGAAACTTCCACCAACCCTGCAGAACTAGTGTATGCTAACCATACATAACGCTGGACCCTATAGACTTTCGAATATCTGATCCTACCTTAAGCCCTAAACAATAAGAACATAACATAAGGCCAAATCAAACATTCTCGGGCTATAAGATCTTAATTATGTTCAGCCGCGATACATACACAAGTAACTACAGTAATGATGTCAATCTCATATAAAGGAAAACCCTAGGCTAACAGGCATCATGTAATCAGGCAATTCTATCATGCAATTCCTGAAGATACCTAGCCTAGCACTAGCATGATGTTCTATCATCTCACCAAATCAAATAACCGTATGGTATTTTGGGGTCTACTTACTGGCTTCGGCTGATCGTACACTTGCATCCTCCTTTACTTATTTTGAAAACCATTTAAAAATCATTTTGAAAATCCTTCCTTGATTTGAGACTGGATTCACACGAGTGTTCCTCCAATTCACTCAAACCAAGGCTCTGATACCAACTTGTAACACCCATAAAATTCGAGCCAATTTAAAACTTTTTAGATCATTTAAAACCATTCAGTTATTACAATTTGTTTTCAAAATGGTTTAAACATCAGAGTTCCTAGAAATCATAATCATCAATCGAGGAAGTGTACGGTAACGCCTTCACCTTCCCGCGGTCACCCGCTGAAACTGAAACAATAAACTGAAACTGTAAGCTCGAAGGCTTAGTGAGTTACCCCCAAAATACCCATACACACAACAATACACATACAATAACAAACAACATACTATGGGTCCAATCATCCATCGAGATGGAATACCCCAGGCCCTCAACCATCGGGTTGGAATGCCCACATACTACGAGTCCAATCATCCTCGGGGTGGAATACTCTCGGCCCACAACCATCGGGTTGGAATGCCCACACACAATACATATGTAACAGATACTATGGGTCCAATCATCCATCGGGATGGAATACCCCAGGCCCTCAACCATCGGGTTGGAATGCCAACATACTATGGGTCCAATCAACCATCAGGTTGGAATATCCCGGGCCCTCAACCATCGGGTTGGAATGCCAACGTAACCAATCAACCATCGGGTCCTATTATCCTCGGGATGGAATACCCTCAACTACCACTCAATCACGTGCACATATAACAAATAATCTCCTAGCAGCATGCAGACAGTCAGACCAAACCATAGGTCACTAAACATAACCACATCCAATCTACCAGGATACCGATCTAACAGATCATACTAACATATAACCATCCTATCTACCAGGATACCGATCTAACAGATCATACTAGCATATAACTATCGTATCTACCAGGATACCGAGCTAACAAATCATACTAGCATATAACCATCCTATCTACCAGGATACCGAGCTAACAGATCATAACAACATATAACCATCCTATCTACCAGGATACCGAGCTAACAGATCATAACAGCATATAACCATCCTATCTACCAGGATACCGAGCTAACAGATCATAACAGTAATAATCCCAATAACAAAACAAAGGGCCAGCCTTGGTGCCTTAGACCCTTGAGTATAATGAGGATAACTCACCTCGCAATGCCGATCTGAACTGGAGAATCGAACTCCCGAATCGCTATCTCACCGAAAATACCGAACTATTACATAATAAATACCAAGTCATTACACAACATAATAATCTTGACTAAGGATCCACACAATCCATCATTTCCATTCACTTTATTGGGCCAAGGCCCAATGCCAAGTCCATAACCTTGAAAGTCCTTATGCAAAGCCCATTATTGGCCCAATTTACCAAATTGGGCCAAACTCCCTAATTGGGCGTAATTCCAAGATCCATAATTAAAATTTGGCCCAAAACATAATATTCATAAAGTCCAGCAAAGGCCCAAATCCAACTAATCCAAAAACATCCCAAAACCCGACGCCCAATCGCCAAAGGCCCAACAGAGGACGTACGCGGGGCGTACTCGTCCGAATGTTGACCACCATCGGGGTGGTGGACCCAGTATGCTGGGCATACTGAATTTACGCTGGGCGTACGTGGGGTTTCACCAAAACCCTAATAAGTGCTTAATGACTTAAGCACTCAAGCCCAAACTTCAGATCTATCGACCAAATGTGCCATAGGGCTATAAAGTCTAGAACTTTATCACTTTGGACGTCCAGAAAGCTCTTAATACTTGGTCTTAATCCATTAAGACCTTCTTATTCCATGCATTGGAGACATTCAACTAATGGGACCTCATTTTTACCACTTAGGACCTCCTCTAAGGTCTGAAAGGACAGCTCATTTCGTCCAAATCATAACATGCACCATTTTGGGACTTTTGGGACAAGAATGCTTCCATAAAGCTAAAATGACTAGATCTATCTCATACAAGAATAAAGTTCCAAGCTTTTTACCTTCTGGAGCTTCTAGGGCACAAACCAACTTCAGATCTACAAACTTGATCTTCTTCTCCAACTCCTTAATGCAACACCTTCTTCTTAAAACACTCAAGAAACACACAAAAAGCTCAAACACTCAAGGAAATGGCTAGGGTTTGGGGAAACAACTCTAAGCAATGGAGGTTGGGGTAAGGGAGGGTCTTGTGCTCATAATGTTGCTTATATAGCCCACAAACCCTAAATATTAGGGTTTCCTTCTGCCATGAGTACGCCCAGCGTACACAAGTTTACGCCCAGCGTACTAGGGCGCGCCTAGTACGCTAAGCGTACCCATATGTACGCGCAACGTACTCCTCCTGATTCCAATAATTGCAATTTAGCCCTTAGACTTTCGTGGCTTCACCCTTCTATCCCCAAGGACTATAAATGACAAATATTGGGATGTTACAATTCTACTTTCATTTCTTATTATAGTAGAATATCTTAATCTGAAATTGAAATTACATTGTATAAGTTACTAGATTTTTCAAAGTATCATGCCTTCTTATGAAAATGATTGAATGCAGAGCGAGACATATTTACATTCCCATTTCTGCTTGACCAAAATGAATTACATTTTCCAATAAAATTGTAGGTATTAACATGTTTTTCAACAACATACATGTCACAACAACATAACAGACAAGATGAGAGGCATTCTCATCGATTACTTAGTTGAGGTAACAATGTTACACAACTATTTACTTAAATTTATTCACAACAATTTTAAAATGAGAGAAATTAGTGATATCATACATATAATACAATCAATGCTACTTAAGAAGGCTTATTTCAGGTTACACCATTCAAGGCTCCTGTGTCTATAAAACTGAGAAAGCCCACTGAACACCTTGTTCCAGAGATAAAGCCCGACACATTCAGAACGTAACCCTAGAAGGTGAGGCTATAATTGGAATAATGCACCTGGTAATGTATTCTTTTCATATCTTAACATTTTCATACTAAAGTTAATAATATTATTATTATAGTTATCTACTCTTTCTATTGGTCTCATGTTAATGATTGGATTTTCACTAGATACAGAGATATGAAACATCCTGCTAAAACCTCAATGGCTGTCTCCATTAAAGAGCCACTAATCTCAAACGTGTCATAAAAGAGGTAATTATGTTTTTACCCTTATCACCATTCGACCATAGATAAGTTTTTAACGATTTTGTCTATTACATTTCATTCATAATTATGCAGTTCCTCGGAGACTTCCAAAAATTTAGAGCATAATTCCTCTCAATCCCAAAACATGCCACTTGATTATTTACTCCCCAAAGAAGTAAAGATACCTCTAGTTTCTAATGTCACACCACCTGTCCAACTAGCAAAGTACATTGTTATTACTATTGAAAATAGGCTGTTATTATGAGTAAAAACTTAAAGTGCGTTGTATAATTGAAACCTTCACTTTTATATTTGTTGGTTTTAAAATATAGATTTGATGTATGTTTTAAGATTTTTCTGTGTTGAATATATGGTTTTAAAATGTTGACTAGATGTATGTTTTAAGATTTTTCTGTGTTGAATATGTAATTATTTTTATTTTTTTAATGAATTTATAATTTTTTTTTATAATGCCAAAATCCGTCGCTAATCCGTCACAAAAATGTTGTCGGTAATCCATTAGTGAGATATTCCAAGATTCCGCCGATAATCCCTTAGTGAGATATTCCGTCGGTAATCTGTTGCAAACACATTCTGTCGGTAATCCGTTGCAAAACTAGTTCTGTCAGTGATCGGTTACTAATCACCGACGGAAAATTCTGTCGCTAAAATTTTTCATAGCTGTCAGAAATCCGTTACAAACGATTAGCGACAAGAATATACCGACGAATTTTGGTCTGTTGCAATCCGTCGGTAAAGCCTTAGCGACGGGTTACCGACAGTTTTGGCCGTCGGTATGCTTTTTTTTGTAGTAGTGTTTTTAAAGAATAGGTAAACACAGTTCGGTTACATATATGTATTTCGTCTTAAATTTATACGGTTACCTTATCTCTTATGACAAATGCATCCTAGAACTCTCACGTTGGGTTAACGGCCAAAATTCTTTAACACACATTATGTTTCAGGTCACCAAAGATCTACAGGGAGACTCAAAATCATGATGTCTTCACCCTGCTTTTAATTTGCAAAAAAAATGAAATATTTTTGAAATGCTGACGGAAAGGTTTACCGAAGCTTTCTTATGTCATCTTTGATTCCTCACTCCCTTTACTAATAAAATTCTATATATTAAATCACTTTCACACTGAATTGTTGGATATTCCTTTTTTGGTCTTGATCTCTTCAGGTTTGTGACATGTCGGTTCTTTGTTATATTCTCAATCTCTCTCTCTCTATATATAGGATCATATCCCTCTTCAAACACCAGCACAACTCAAAGTTTCTGAACATTCCTTTTCTGCCTCACGCACGCACAGAAGCACAAAGAAATGGGGATAATGAGTGAACACAAGAGAAGGTATGCATTGCTGCTAGCAGCAAGAGACTCAGAGTATGTGAAGAAGGTGTATGGAGGGTATTTTAATGTATTTGTCGCAGCTTTTGGTGAAGAAGAAGTAGAAGGGAGGTGGGATTCGTATAGGGTAGTTGATGGGGAATTCCCTGACATTAATGAGCTTCAAGACTATGATGGGTTTGTAGTGAGTGGAAGTCCTTATGATGCTTATGGTGATGACAATTGGATTCTTGAGCTTTGCGTTCTTTTGCGAACCCTAGATTCCATGCAAAAGAAAGTCCTTGGCATTTGCTTTGGCCATCAGGTATCTTTTTTGTAACTTGGTTCACTTGTGATATAAATCCATCCTGAATATTGTCGTCTTTAATATATAATATTCAAGATGGAGATCTCGACAGCTGTATAGGTTTGGTGGGTTTTATCTGCTTTATATATATTCAAAATAAGATAAGACTCACATTTTTATATTTATTTTGCCACAAATTCAAGTTTCTATCATAAGCTAGCATAGCATCTTATAAAGATGTCTAGGATGGATATTATTCCTAACGAATAATCCGACATTCCTTGGCCACTACTATTTTTGCATCATAATTCAAAATTTTCCTACATGGATGTTTTATCTTTCGTAAAATATTGTGTCAGCAAATGTCAACGGTAGCACTTGATTAGGTACGGGGTTCCTTAATAATTAGTTTCTTTTTTAAATCAAGTAATGAGACAAAAAAAAAAATGGAAAATCATGGCTCCATGTATATGAAACAGACGATTAACCCTCGCCTAACTTGTTTATTTTTTGGTGTTAAATAGGTTCTGTGTAGAGCATTAGGGGGAAGAGTAGGGAAATCACAAAGTGGGTGGGACGTAGGGCTTAGGAAAGTGGAGATTATACAAAATTTCTCCCCTTGCAGCTTTCTTAAAAGCTTGACTGAGATTCCCCCAGCCCTCTCCATCATCGAGTGTCACCAAGATGAGGTATCTCTATAATTCTTTCAATATTTTTCTTTTTCTTTTTATTCTTTTTGTCCATAAATTAAGCACACATGTCACCGATGTTGTGATAAGATCTTACGGCATTATACATGAACGTGCACAGGTGTTGGAGGTGCCAATGGGAGCAGAAGTCATAGCATTCTCAGACAAAACAGGAGTCGAGATGTTCACAATCGGAGACCACATTCTTGGTATTCAAGGCCATCCGGAGTACTCCAAAGACATTCTAAAAAACCTCATAGATCGCCTTCTCAATCAAGATGCCATTGAGGTATGCAATGAAACCAATCACATGCTTATTCATCAGCTTAACAAGAAAATCAGAAATCCCGAACTTGCTCGTATGCTTCTCGAACTCTATCATCATTCTCTATATATATTAACAGAACTCGATTATGATTGGACATATCAGATTGGACTTGCAGAAGATGTAAGGTCAAAGTTGGAAATCGCGGAGCCAGATAGAAAGTGTTGGCAAGAAATATGCAAAGCATTTCTTAAGGGTTCCGAGAATCAATGTCCCAAGTACGTATTAAGCACCGAAGATGTTATGTTTTCTTGATGTTCAAAAGTTCAAGAAAAATTGTACATATTATTTCAACTCTCCCCCGTTTTATTGTGTTTTCGTATTACAAAGAGTGCCCTAAAATGGACATGATCAAGTCCATCTACGATATGTATGATAATATGAATTACATACAAAAATATTTCTCACTTTCTACTTGTATTAAGCATGTGTGACTCGTTATTGGTCTCTTTTTAATTTGGTTGCTATATTGTAAAAAGAAACTAAATTGAGTAGGACTTTTACGCGTCATCAATTAATAAGGATTTTTCTCATAACAATTGATATAAGTTAATTCTATGTATGCAATGACCAATAACTTGTGGGTTATAATAATCTACGATTAATAAAATACATTTCTTAACAAAGAAATCGATCGGGAGCACGGTGATTTTCTACCTTTTATGGAACATCTCGTTGGTCAGAAATGATAAGGTCTTCATAAATACTATTACATCTCCAACAAAGTAGCCGATAATATCATCTCTATGTCATATACATGGTGCAAGCATATGAGTCCTCATGGTTGCGGTAGTTGGGCTGAATGGAGTTGTTCGCTATTTACCTATCTAAGTCTTATCACATTGTAATTGTTTTTTATGTTTCTCGTTTCTGTACTGTTTTATTTGGTCGCGATTTAGTTTCTTGCTAATCGTTGATCATTTTTAATGATATTCGCCGTTTCCAAAAAAAAATAACAAAGTTATTACATAATTTCACGAAAAAATCTTTATAAATTATATAAATGATACCATTTGGCAAAAAACTATGCCCATTAATTTGGCGAAAAATAATTTTGTAAACTGCACTTCTTAATGAAATCATTATAAAGAATTCTAAAAAAAATTTGGTAAAATTACGATGTCATTTTGGTCAAAAGTATTTTCATTTCATGCGAAAATCATAAGTAACTTTTGTTACACATGGTTAAAAGTTGGTCAATTGTTTATATGACTTTTCTTTTGATTGAGTTTGGTTTAGCTTTTTAATCTTAAAAGTGCTTTTGAGAGTGTTTCGCTTATCTTTTTAATCTCAAAAGTGTTTATTGATTTATGGTTTTTTGGAAAATAAGCTTTTAAAAAATGTTTGGTTTAGTTTTTGTGGCGATAAAAATTAAAAAGTCAATAAGTTGGTTTTAAAAAATGTTTGATTTAGCTTTTTAGAGCTGAAAAGTGATAGAAAAAGCTAAAAAACCACTGATAGACACTTTGGATTCGGCGAGCTATTCCGCTTTCACATTCAGATTATAGAAAGATGGTTACTACATTGATAGAGGCATACAAGTATTCAGTTATCCCAATAGTAATAGCCCACGGAGCGGTAATTCAGTGATCCTTAACCAATTGCGATTCCGCAAGGATTTGATAGCTTTTTGAAGCTTTCGTATTTTGTCTGTCCAAAAAGTTGTTTGAAAAACGCTTTTGAACAACCTAAACGCTTTTTAGATAATTAGCTTTTTGAAAAACTAATAAAAAACTAATAAGCTTAAGCTAATTTGTAAAGCATTCCCAAACACTAACTTTATGTTATTTTAGTGATTAGTCCCAGTGATTAGTCTTTTGACACTTTGAGTCATTTAGAAGTTAGAACATCTCCAATAAATACTTTTGATGGTTAAATTTTTTCAAAGTTTTTTTAATCAACACTAAGATTTTAATTATGGCATAATAGGATGGCACGCTGTTAGAAAGTGATTAACCTAGATTGTGGTTATTGGTTAATTGATTATATGTTAAATATGACAGTTAAGTATATGAACCATTATGATGGTTCATGAAAAGTTGTGTTGCTTATACCTAGTTTCTCGTCTCTCTCTCTCTCTCTATATATATATATATATATATATATATATATATCTATATATATATATATATATATATATATATATATATATAAGTCTTGTGCAATATTATTTTGTGTTGGGTTGTATGTATTGAGTATATCAATAAGAAAGTCAATTTGGTGTATATCTTATCTTTTGTTTGAAATTCTATCTTTATCTCCAACAAATTGGTATCAGAGACAATAATTCTAAATCAAAAGGATATCTCGTTTTTTCTTCAAATATGGCTACGAACAAAAATCCTTATCAAACCTAGTTGCCATGATTGAATGGTAAAAACTATCATCACTGGAGTATCCAGTTAAGGGTTCTGTATGAATTCCTGGATTTATGGAGTATAGTGGAAGAAGGTATATCTCAACCAAAGAATCCCACTGCACAACAGAAAAAAGAATTAAAGGAATTAGAGAAAAAAGACAAGAAGGTGTTTTTCTTCATCTTTCAAGCCATAGATGATCCCATTTTGTAGGGATATTTGGTTCAAAATCTTCTAATGAGGCCAAAGATATACTGTATAATGGTTATATGGAATAAGATAGAGTAAAATCAGTGTGTTTGCAAACCCTGCATTGTGAATTTGATAGCCTGAAAATAAAGGAATCAAAAACCATTAAAGAATTTTACAACTATGTGATTACCTTGGTGAATCAAATGAGATTTAATGGAGAATACAATGAAGATAAGAGGGTTGTTCAAAAGATACTAAAGAGTCTCACTCATAAATTCGAATATGAGGTTGTGGCAGTTGTAGTGGAAGAATCAAAGTACATATCCAGATTATCGATTGAAAATCTTCTGGAGATACTCCAATCCCATGAATTTTAAATAAATAATTTCAATTACAACCCTATAAAATAAGCTTTTCACTCATATGTCTCTACAAAGGAAAAAGGTAAGGAGCATGTAAAACCTTTATAAAAAAACTCAATGTTTCTACTGTTACAAATTCGGACATACAATGAAGTATTGCAAGAAACGAAAGGAGGATGATGGTAAGGATGTCAATTTCATATATGGGAATGAAGTCATGGAAGATGACACAATGTTCATGGCAATTGAAGAACTTGAAAGTTTGGTTGATGATGCATGGTGCATAGATGGTGTATGTGATGATGAAAGGTGATGCTTGGAGTCTAAATGCTTCAAGGTGTTGAATGTGGTAGGTGATCTAGGTTAACGGGTGTCACAACTAGGAATTCTAATTCTTTGTAAACATTAACAATAATAATATTTGCGACTAAAATTTGAAAGTATGCATGATGTTTATTCAATAACAACAAAATTTCATCAAACACTCTATACAAACACTTCAAATAGTTAACAAAAGATTGGAAACCCTAGAAATCCCGGTTTAAGTCCAATATGGACTAGGATTTCCTTATTGGGCCTAATGGACCAATAAGCTTCCAATTTGACTATTTTGGGCTTAGAACTCTTAAATGGGCTCTAATTGGACCCACTTTCATGAAACTTAACATTTTGGGCCATAATGGATCCAAAATGAATTGGTTTACTTTAATGGGCCTTATTGGAACATAACAAACCTAATAAACTTCAATGGGCCGTGAAACCCATTCTTTCATTCTAATTGGGCCGTAAACCCTCCTAAGGGCCCAATGGGCCAAAAACCATCAAAATGGGCCTCCTATTATTAGAACCAAGCATTAAAGGCCCATTCCATCTCTCTTCTTTCTTTAGCCCATTTCGGCCCAACACCATTTAACAAAAAAAAGAGAAATGAAATGGATGGAGGGGGAGTTGACTTTGGAGGTGCCACCTCCATATTATCCCCCATGCAACTAGGTAACAATCCCATACATCCATGCAATGTCACCTCACCTCCTCTCCCCTCTCTTCTTTTTCTTTTTCGGCCGAGAGCAAGAGGAAAACACACACACACACACTTAATTCACTTCCAAATCCTCTCAAGAACACCATCATTCCTCCTTCCAAATTTTCAAGATTTAGGGCATTTCAAGAAGGTTTTCATCCAAAAATCACTCCAAGATACATACTTGTGGTAAGATCTTGTCAACATACTTTCTTTCTACAACTTAATCACTCTTCTTACCACCTTAAATTCTTAATCATACTCCTAGAATCATCTCAAGTTCGAGATCCACATCAAGGTGTTGCTAGGACCAAAAATCTTCTTCATATCTTCTTCAAAACTGAAACAACTAAGCAAGGTGAGCTTCATACCCCCTTGTTTTCGGTTTTTACTTTTTTGGGGGAGAATACAAGTATTATGTGATGATCTATGTGTACTTGCATGTTATGTGTGATTTCTTTAGTTTTTGGTTGTGATAATATGTAATACTTGTGATATTTCGAGATCTATAGCAAAAAGGGTGAAATAATCATAAACAAAAACATAATAAACAACATACATCATAGATCTAAGAGTCCTTAAGCTTAAAAAGTGAAAAACAAAGCGAAAGAACTTTACAAGTATCACTTTTGCAAAAATAATAAAGATTGGGTATAAATTGTAAAATATCGGTTTTATGAGGATTGTAAGGGATTTATTTGTATAAAAGCTGATTTTTATGAAAATAATACTTCTTAAAGGGTCAAAAACACAAATTTTAGCTTATTGGGCTTTAAATTGGGCCTCACGAGTGTTGGGCCCAAGGTTGCGAAAAAAATGAACTTTTGAGGGGCTGAAATGTAAAACTTAACAAACTATGTGTCTAAAACGTAAATAAACCATTTCAGGGGTTGAAAATGATTTTATTACCAAATTGGCCTAAAAATGCAAGGTTTTTTATTTTGGGGTCAAAATTGTAAAACTTACGGAAATTGGGCAAAAAATGTAGCTTTTTACAAATAAAGGCTGAAAATGACAAATGCAATAGTTTTGGACTGAAATTTCTATTCAAATAAAGTTTGGATGGAAAATGTCAAGAAAAAATGGTTTAAGGACCAAAAATGTCAACTTTCATAAAAAGGGACTAAAAGTGCCATTTTTTTTAGAAAAAGGGCCAAACTGGTCGATCTAAATGTTTTTGGGGCAAATAAACAATTATGAATGTTTGGGTTAAAAATATCAAGCTTATAACACATGGGTCTAAAAATATAATATATATATATATATATATATATATATATATATATATATATATATATATAACTAAAGCTTCGTTATAATTCAAACGTTAAGAAATTCTTTTAAAGCATCGTGAATAAACATTTAACCTACGACAAATACCAACAATACGAACATAAACTCGATA